AACAAAAAAATGTTAATACAATTCTGAACAAAATGTACCGAGCAACTTGAAATTTTTCCAACTCATCATACCCCAGAAATATATTCATGATTTCTTAATTTTTCTTGAAAATGAAAAATATCTAGTAGCATAGGCGTTAATGTTTGCTACACCTAAGACTAAAATAGTAGATATTACATAGTTTTAATAACCGTAGTGCATCAACCGAATTCATGTCRCATAATCAGGACCGGATTAATAGAGTTTACCCGACCTGGAGCCTAGCATTCCAAAGGGCCCTTAGTCGTTACAATATTTATTACAATATCACCAATAACTAAATGTTATTTATCTAAAAAAATGATACAAGGTAATTGATTACACAGAAATATCTTTAACAATATTTAAAATATTTATAATATTTKTCAATTTTCATTACATGCTATTAATTATACAATATGTATTCTTTAAATGTCAAAATATGAATGTAATATTTTAAAGTTAACTTTATTATCTTATTTTCTCTTCTTTTTTTGAAACTCATGGCGTAATACAAATAATATAATTATGAAAATTAAAAAATTAAAAAATGTGTAAACAAAATAAAATTTTAACTTAAAATATTTTGAACTTGTTTTCAGATAGAAGGCCCTTTCKGGACCTTCAATATTTTAGGGCTTAGAGCCCGGGCTCCTAGGCTCCGCGCTTAATYCGGCAGTGCACATAATAACATTGATGTCACTATACCACACAACAGTTTTTTACGCTGTGTTTTAAATTGTATTCTTGTCTAAAAATATGTACACATATACAGTTGCATTTATGTGATCAAGATCAAACTATTCAATATTGTTGGTGRACTTTGATAATTTTATGAGCTTTCCGAGTGTGTTAAATTTTCATATTATTTTATTATTATATCACTCTGATACGCATAAATCAATCGTACGTTTTTTATACACGAAAGCTCTGTTATAAATGTATGAGTAGTGCTGTAAATGTTCACCACTGTTCACACCTATATACCAGACACTGCATTTCGTACGTATCAAAAGTTATAATTACACAAATCAGTGGCGTTATAATAATTTCATATAATTATGCATATAAAAAAATCGTGCCTATATATATTTAATATTTTTGAATATCTATAGTAAAACTTACGAGAAATGGTGTATTACACTATTAAGTTTTTTGACTGAACGAAACATTTTTATTAACTCAATCCCAAATAATATTAACAAATTTTCATTTATTTATTCATGTTCTTACCGTTTATTTTAAAAAGTACTGAGAATTTTTAATTCTGATCTCCCAAAAGTATCGACTAGATCTAATTTGCTTCCAAAACTCTACATCAAAGTTTATGATCAGAGAATTTTCTACCAAACTCTTTGAGAAGTTGAAGTTGTACAATCATTTTCATATAYTTCACCTAAATTACTTAAATTATTATTAGACTGAACAAATTAAAAACAAAATTTTAATTCATTTTCAAGTTAATTAATTTTATCAACAACGTTAGCATTAAAAATTGATCAGTTTTTCAAATGTATTATTCAATCAGATTATATTTGTTTATTTTAAGTGACTTATAAGCATAGCAATATGTATTAAAACGTTAAATATTTGTTTAAAGTTTATTTTTAATTTAAGATCAAAAAATGTAATTTAAAGGTAGCGTGGACATAATAAAATTAAAAGTTGAATGTTTCAGATTTATTTCGTGATAAAATAAAATATAAATACATGTGCTAGGAAATTCACTTCAATTGGTCTAAATTATGGTTTATTTAGGCTAATTTTACAAGTATGGGCCTGACAATACATACTCGATTAATTTTGCATCACAGCTCATATTGCAAACAAACATAATATTATGTAACTTAGTATAGCATTAGATTAAATATACATTTTTTGGGTCAATGTTTAGTTAGGAACTTAATATTTTT